GTGAGTGTGTGTGTGTGTGTGTGTGTGTGTGTGTGTGTGTGTGTGTGCGTGCGTGTGCGCGCGCTCGCGCACGCGCGCGCTCTTGCGCGGAGGGGGGCCGGTAGCTTATTATTTTTAGTTTGGGTCGTGTTGGTTTGGGCCAGCTGAAGTGGCCAAAGCGGCCGTAGCGGCTACTCAGCCGCCGCTCCCAGCTTGCCTGTCCACCGGAGTGGTCACAAAGTCCCCGAGGGCCGAAGGAATCCGATGTCCTTAGCTTCGCTGCCCCCAGGGAGGCTGGGGCGGCGGGGAAAGTGTCCTAGTCTAGGGACGGTGCGCTGGGCTTTGTCTTCTGTGCCCCTGTCGCAGGTACTCTAGGCGAACGTGGACCTGGGGCTCCGGGCAGTGGCCCGGGAGCTGGTGGAAGACAGCTGGCACCCTGCAAGAAAGGGGATACGAGAGAAGCCGGTGGGTAACTCTGAAAGCCCTGCAAAGCGGGGCAAGTGCTGGCAGCGCGACTTTCCAAGGTGCCCAAATGTTGAGCTGATTTCTGGCTTGGTGAGAGCAGCATTTTGTGGCTGGCCTGGCTGCGGGTTGGGGGGTGGGGGGCGGGCAAGGGGGATCCTGGACCGCCGCTCTTGGCCAAGGAAGGACAGGGTCACTCTGCCTGTGACAAGCGGGCCAGTGACACCCCAGTGGCTATTGCCCTCGTGGCCCGAGCTAGTCATCTCTTCTCCCTCAACCACCGCACGCCCGGGTCTAGAGAGGCCAATGGAAACTCCAGCAGTTGCCCCTTATGGGAGGAGAGCGCTAGAAGAAATGTGTGCGCAGATGGGCTGAAGCCCCCTCGACATCCCCAGCGGTACTCGCCTCCGCTGCCTGACCCTAGAGGCCGCAGCTCGGGCGGAACCCGGGAGGGGGCTGGTGCCGGCTCCGGGCAACGGGATGCGGCAAAACATTGCGGTAAGCGCTATCGCCAATGGCCCCTCCAGGCGCATCGCTGCCGGCTCGAGGTGAGGTAGCGAACAGTGGGCGGCAGTGACCGCGTTCTCCAGCGGAGCACCCCCTCTGCCTTAGGCGGCGGACAGAGGTTTCCCGTGCCAGCTCCAGGGGTGCCACCTCGGCCCACCCTCCTGAGTCGTTTGTTCCCCACAGGCCAGCTCCCTCCACAGGAGCGCGCGGAGCGCCAGGCGCAGCACTGTGGTAGATGCTGGATTTGTGGTGAGGCTAGTTTTATGCAGTCCTGGCCAGCCTTGGAAGCCTAAGGTCCGGGTTGGGGGTGGGGGGTGGGGGGTGGGGGGGAGGGGAGAACCGGGCAGCTCTTGGCAGCCCCAGAGATGACTTTGGTACCCAACTCATACTTTGTGTTTTCTTTTTCTGTTGCCTCCCCTCTTCATTCCCCCTCCCTATTTTTTTTAAGTGGGCATGTTTTAGTGGTGCCATGTGAATGTGACGTTTCTTTCCTTTACATGCAATTCCCCCCCTTCCCCTCTTGCTCCCTCCCTTCTCCTCTTTCCACTTCTCCGTGGTCTCTTGCCCTTTCCCTCTCCCCTTCTCTCTGAGGACCCCTCAGCTCCCTTGCTAGCTTCTCCAGCTGCTTTGGCTTCCTCCGTTTCACAGACCTGCATTTGGGAAGTTCCTAGCTAGTCCTTGTACCTTTCAACCCCCCCCCCTTACTTAAAGTAGAAATTAGGAGCAGGAGGGTAGCTCCTAATGCAATTTCAGATCAGTTGATGCTCCTTGTTATTATTTGTGTACTGAATTCAGGTTATTCTTTTTGTTGTTGTTGTTTTGTTTTTAATTTGGTTACTTTTGGGGTTTTTTTGGGGGGGGTTGGGGGGGTTATAACTAGAAATGACTCAACCGAACCTGGTTGGCTGTTGAAAACCACATCTATAGCAAAGCAAAAAGATCAAGTGAAAATTTGCTTTTACAATGCAAGTTGGTTTGAATGATGTCATACGTAAGAATTATGACTTCTTTCTGCACTATCAATCAAGCTGTCATGGTGAATGGGGGAATGCATTTCCATACGTCAGCCAATGAGCATCTAGGCAGTGCTGCCTGTATGCTGAACCAAACTACTTAAAATGCAAATCTTTCTGAGTCGTGTCTTTTGGGTTGTCTACCTTGAGACAAGTTCATTTTACCACTAGCTAATTCCTCGTGGGCAAAAGACACAAAGGCATTTCTGTGTGACACTTCACTTCTGGCTTTGTATCATTCCCTCATTGTGTGTTCCTGGGTAATTTAATTAATATTTGGTGATAACCATATTGAAATTGCAGCCAGCTTTCCATTCAAGATGGAAAAGACTTACGTGGCTAAAATGGCATCAATAAAACAAGAATTCTTGTTGTCTCTTTTAATCTTTTCCATGAAGCATTTGCATATTTTTGTGTATGCATGTGCTATTTAAGGAATTGGCTAAAACAGGTTAATTTGCTAAGCATTAAACTCCGCTAAATTGATTCTTGATTTGTTTATAGACAGAGGCATGGGGTACTAATATTTGGAAGGTGGTGTTTGGGAAATGATGATTTTAGGACAAACATTTGCTGTAATAAATGTATTTGGGGCTGCAGCTATAGCCACTCGACAATCGTAGTGTGTTACATCTTCCTCAGCAGTGGCAATCTGTGATCAAAGTGAAAGAGATAAGCATTTGAGCCAAGTGCCTGTCAGACCTGGGTTCAAAATGGCACATGAAGGAATGGAAGAGGGCCAGGTAGGCAGGACAACCAGTTCTTGGGGGGAGGGAAAGCTGTCTGGACATCAGCTAGACAGTGCAGGAGCAAGTATGTTTCTCTCCTGTTTTAAGGGACTCAAAGACAAAAGGTATTTTTCCCTGTTTGGAAGATCACTGATAGGAAACTAGATACTGTTTATTTATCGGAATAGAATCTAAAACTTGGCCTTCCCTACTCGGTTCTTTTCTAAAACCTCACGGGGTCATCTGTGGGTTTTTTAAGGCAGCAGTGTACAGGAATGAACTGATTTATGGCAATGTGCTTCCCAATGGGCTGAAGTTCAGGCAGATCTCTTCCCAGGGCTCCTTCCACCTTGGCCTTTTGACTTTCCCCTTTACAGCAACCCAATTATCCCATTGGCATCCTCTGTTGAACTCAGGTATCTAATATTTTCTCTGCTCAGCCTCTTATCCAGCTGAAGCCTAGAGAGTAGACATTTACAAACTGAAATGCCTTTGTGATGCTAACTACATGGCTGACATGACAGGGTTGGATCAGTCATTAGAGTTGCAAATAGAAAGCTTAAGGTCTGTGTTTGTTCAAGGGCACAGTTTGGTGGTCCAAGTAGAGAAAATATTTCATATTTTTAAGGTTTAAGTATGATCAACCGTCTTTTGCTGTTGTTTGTCATGTGTTCTGCACATGTAAATTTTGTATAAACTACTACAGCTATGGAAATAAAATGTATGACATTTTTGGTGGTTAGTGTTTGACTAAGTGAGAATACTCAGAGCTTTTGGTACCTTAAAAATTCAAAACTAATAACTATAGTCACGTGTTTGCTATCACATGCCACATTTTCAGTTACTGTATTTATACATACAAGTAATTTTTCTAGTAATAATCATTGAAAAAATGTTTTCTTCTTATTTTTTAGGTTATCTCTCTTTATTCAGAAGCATAAATTTGCATGTTGATTGCAAGAAGATGTTTCTTTGGCTCTTTCTGATTTTGTCAGCCCTGATTTCTTCGACAAATGCAGATTCTGAGATATCAGTGGAAATTTGCAATGTGTGCTCCTGTGTGTCAGTGGAGAATGTGCTCTATGTCAACTGTGAGAAGGTTTCAGTCTACCGACCAAACCAGCTGAAACCGCCTTGGTCAAATTTTTATCACCTCAATTTCCAAAACAATTTTTTAAATATCCTCTATCCAAATACATTCTTGAATTTTTCACACGCAGTATCCCTGCAGCTGGGAAATAATAAACTGCAGAACATTGAGGGAGGAGCCTTTCTTGGGCTCAGTGCATTAAAGCAGTTGCACTTGAACAACAATGAATTAAAGATTCTCCGAGCTGACACTTTCCTTGGCATAGAGAACTTGGAGTATCTCCAGGCTGACTACAATTTAATCAAGTATATTGAACGAGGAGCCTTCAATAAGCTCCACAAACTGAAAGTTCTCATTCTTAATGACAACCTGATTTCATTCCTTCCTGATAATATTTTTCGATTCGCATCTTTGACCCATCTGGACATACGAGGAAACAGAATTCAGAAGCTCCCCTATATCGGAGTTCTGGAACACATAGGCCGAGTTGTCGAATTGCAACTGGAAGATAACCCTTGGAACTGCAGCTGTGATTTGTTGCCTTTAAAAGCTTGGCTGGAGAATATGCCATATAACATTTACATAGGAGAAGCTATCTGTGAAACTCCCAGTGACCTGTATGGAAGGCTTTTAAAAGAAACCAACAAACAAGAATTATGCCCCATGGGCACAGGCAGTGATTTTGATGTACGGATCCTGCCTCCATCTCAGCTGGAAACCGGCTATACCACTCCCAATGGCCACACTACTCAAACATCTTTCCACAGATTAGTGACCAAACCACCGAAAACTACAAATCCTTCCAAGATCTCTGGAATCGTGGCAGGCAAAGCCTTCTCCAACCGCAATCTTAGTCAGATTGTGTCTTACCAAACAAGGGTGCCTCCTCTTACACCTTGTCCAGCGCCTTGCTTTTGCAAAACACATCCTTCGGATTTTGGACTGAGTGTCAACTGCCAAGAGAAAAATATACAGTCCATGTCTGAACTGATACCGAAACCTTTAAATGCCAAGAAGTTGCATGTCAATGGCAACAGCATCAAAGATGTGGACATCTCAGACTTTGCTGAGTTTGAAGGACTGGATTTGCTCCATTTAGGCAGTAATCAGATTACAGTGATAAAGGGAGATGTGTTCCATAATCTCACTAATTTACGCAGGCTGTATCTCAATGGCAACCAGATTGAAAGACTCTATCCTGAAATATTTTCAGGCCTTCATAACCTGCAGTATCTGTACTTGGAATACAATTTGATTAAAGAAATCTTAGCGGGCACCTTTGACTCGCTGCCAAATTTGCAGCTACTATACTTAAACAACAATCTCTTAAAGAGCTTGCCCGTTTACATTTTTTCTGGAGCACCCCTTGCGAGACTGAACCTGAGGAACAACAAATTCATGTACCTACCTGTCAGCGGGGTTCTCGATCAGCTGCAGTCTCTGACACAGATTGACTTGGAGGGCAACCCATGGGACTGCACTTGTGACTTGGTGGCATTAAAGCTGTGGCTGGAGAAGTTGAATGACGGGATTGTTGTGAAGGAACTAAAATGTGAAACACCTGTTCAGTTTGCCAACATTGAACTGAAGTCCCTCAAAAATGAAATCTTATGTCCCAAACTCTTAAACAAGCCATCTGCGCCATTCACGAGCCCTGCACCAGCCATTACCTTCACCACCCCGCTGGGTCCCATTCGAAGTCCTCCTGGAGGTCCAGTGCCTCTGTCGATTTTAATCTTAAGTATCTTAGTGGTCCTCATTTTAACTGTGTTCGTTGCTTTTTGCCTTCTTGTTTTTGTGCTGCGACGAAACAAGAAACCCACGGTGAAGCATGAGGGCCTGGGGAATGCAGAGTGTGGTTCCATGCAGCTGCAGCTGAGGAAGCATGACCACAAAACCAATAAAAAAGATGGACTGAGCACAGAAGCTTTCATTCCACAAACCATAGAACAGATGAGCAAGAGCCACACCTGTGGCTTGAAAGAGTCAGAAACTGGCTTCATGTTTTCAGATCCCCCAGGACAGAAAGTCAGCATGAGAAATGTTGCCGACAAGGAGAAAGATTTGTTACATGTGGATAGCAGGAAGAGATTGAGCACAATTGATGAGCTGGATGAATTATTCCCGAGCAGGGATTCCAACGTGTTTATTCAGAATTTTCTCGAAAGCAAAAAGGAGTACAACAGCATAGGTGTCAGTGGCTTTGAGATCCGTTATCCAGAAAAACAAGACAAGAAAAACAAGAAGTCATTGATAGGCGGCAACCACAGTAAAATTGTGGTGGAGCAAAGGAAGAGCAGCGAGTATTTCGAACTGAAGGCAAAACTCCAGAGTTCCCCCGACTACCTACAAGTCCTTGAGGAGCAGACAGCTTTGAACAAGATCTAGGTCACACAATTTTACTTCATGCAGAGGACATTTATTTAATGATGAAAGTGCCTTTTGTTGATTTCTAACTTCCAAATACTATATTATCAATAGGCATAGAGGCAGGTGTTTCCAAGGGTGTCTCATTAACTGTAGCTGCGAAGATGTGTCCAGTAGAAGAGAATCTCCAATAGATTTTACTGCATCAAACCTATACTGTGGAGTCCTGTGGGGATACTGCAAACTCTATTGCCAAAGGGATGCTTTATATACATAATACACTGAATTTAACCTCAAGAGGCAAATCTGTTTTGTACCCCAATGCAAAACCTTCCTCTCTGTGCTTTGTAAAGCAAAGTCAAGAAAACTGGTACCAGTGTTCACACTTCAACTGGGTCCTTCATCTTGCACGTAGATTAAGTTGGTGGAACTGGAATACTCCTTCTGATTTGTGGCATTGTAACAACTCTCTGTAAAGATTATCTGAAAAGTAAAACAAAAAGCATGCAAAGAGAGAACATTCGATAGTATTTGTAAATCGATAACCTTTATGGCCTGCATCTTGAAACCACTGGATTTATAATGTTAAATTGTGCAAATATTTGTTTAAAATATACCATGCATTGCATAAGTATAAAATAAATTTGAACACTTTAAGCATTACCTGTCTATACATAAAACCTAAGAGAGAAAAAAATCAACGTGAGTTACATAGCGTTTGTGGTGATCTTAAGAAATACGTGACGTTTATCAGAATTAAACATGGCTCAACTTAAACTAACATTAGAGTTTGTTCTCAGTTATGTGAAATACCCACAATCCTTAAAGGTTGTCCAAAATAAGCAAAGTGCTTACCGTGTGAGCGCACCCAAAGCTATTTTTGTAACATAATTCATATTTATGAAGTACTTTGTATACTAAATAGAAAAACATGTACTCCTTAATATGTATTTAATATGCCTGACTTGTTTTCCTGATCACAGGGAATTTATCAATAAGTATAAATTTAGACAGAGACAATATACCAAACTGAAACTGAAGCTTATGTGTACAGAAATATTCTGGACATTGTGATCAGGTATAATTTAAAAACAAAAGAAAAAAAACAAAAAGCAACAAAAATATTAAAAAAAAAACAGTTCTGTGCTATTCTTGAGAATTTAGCATATTATCTCTTCAGATTTGTTACCGATTGTGCATTTTAAAATAGATCCCTTAGTTTTTTATAGTATCTTGTCTGGGGCAGTTGTTATTCGCCATCAGTTGTCTTGCTTTTCAGGATTATATGAGCTTAATTCAAATAGTTTTAATGGCAAATATTTAAAAAAAAAGTAATGAGTAAGGTTAATAGTTATATCTCATATGCATCAGTATTCCTGTTCTTTCATCATTCTGACTACTATCAGATAATCAAATAGAACAGTAAACATCATGGTATTCTTGGCTATCAAAGCCACACTGTAAAATGCTTTCATTGATCTCAGATGAGTTTACACTCTGCAACTACAAATGATATGCCACTGTGTTTGCTTGTGCTGTTAACTGCTGAGTCAAACTTGGTCAAAGGGAGGAAATACTTGATAATGGGAGATATTTGAAGATTTTTAGGAGCTCCCGATTAGCAGTGACATCCTGAAACACATTGCCTTCTTGGTCTGCCTGTGTATGTATATTTTGTTGTGCTCCATCTCTTATAACTACTGTATTCATAAGTAAGATGACCAAGAAGGTAAACAACATATATATTCTTCATGAATTTCAAGTGGCAAATGTTTTAGTACAGCTTCTAAAATGATATTATGGTTAAAGTTGTAACAGCAGTCCCTTTATTGATTACTAATTTGAGGGCTTTCTATGTTTGTTCCAAGATAAACAAACAAACAGACAACTTGGCATTCTTGGACGCGTGTGTGTGTGTGTGTGTGTGTGTGTGTGTGTATGTATACATATTGATAATTGGAGATTTTTTTTAAATAGCAAAAAAAATAGTCTCCATATGTATGTGCTGGTGCTCTTAAAACTTTAATGTGTAGTTTTAATTTTCATGACAATGTCTGTGAAAACTTTATATGAATATTTAAAAAATACAAATACTTTCTGACCTTGAAAGAAAGGACATGAAGATGTGTGCCCAACAGCTTGTTTTCATCTATAATTTCATAAGGACTTTTAATATACCATTACCATGCTTGCATGCATCCATGGGTTAAAGGGCTCCTAATGCATACTGACAGGATAAAGATGAAAAGGTTTATCCTGTCAATAAAGTGTGGATGGATTGAAAAATCTTAAGTAGACACTTATGGGAGGAATCAAAAAGCTCCATCCATGATCTGGGGATCATAGGTCACTGGGATGATGCATTTTATTCAGTGTGGTGATGCTTTGAAGATGATTCAAGGTTTCTGCAATTGTCAATGGCAGGAGTACCTGCCACTATCTCAAAGCGTCCTGTAGCATATTGGCTATCTCAAACTCTTCTGCTGAAAGGTGTAAATGTTCAACTTTTTAAAAAGTAATTTAAATGTATGTGGTTATTTGGAGGATCTAATTGTAAGTGAATGACAGTAACAAATCCTTGGTTAAGGTTGATATATTCTCCTTAACTAAAGTCATTGTGCCTACATTATACAGTGTATACTATTTTGCACCTGTCTCTCATTAGTTCTACTTGTATATTTTATGATAATGTTGTTAGGCATAAGTTTTTAGTTGAGTACAAGAGCGGTTAAAATTCTGTATCTACATTTTCTTGACTTCAACTATAACCTTGATGTTAGTTTAACCCCTGCAGAAGTGATATATATGTCAATACAGCATTTTTGGTTTTGATTCAAATATAGAAAATCCAAGAAGTGTTCATTTCTAATGTGGTCTGACACATCGTGGGCTTCTTGGCACTGTATCATGTGCCTGGACTCTATTAGAATAGTTGCAAAGTAAATTATAGCATATAAATCAGTGAAGGGGTTGAGACAATATATTATGTTCATGTAATATAAATCAAGTTTTAAATTATTTTTTTATGAAATCAATAAAGATGATTCAATTCTTTAAAAGTAAATCTTTGTGTAATTTTATGAGAAAGCAGCTATTAAAATATAGTGACTGAAGTCTATAAGGCAATTTATATTCTATATTTAGTTTTCCATTCTGCATAATAAACTCAATAAATATATTAATTAGAAAATCATTTAAGACCACCATTATTTTGTTGCTTTTAAAAACATTTCATTTCTTTAAGCCATAAGAATGCATAAATTACACAGGGCATGGCCTCATGAGTAATGTCAACAGGTATTGCTGAAATAAGAGAACACATCTAGAAATGTATGGCAGTAATATTAATCTATAATATCTTTTGCATGATTTGTACATTGACACTGTATGAAATGAGCACAGTGAGGTTTTTTTGTTGTTGTTGTTGTTATTGTTGTCACATCCAAAGAGCTGGGGGAGAAAATATATTAAAATGTATTTATAATCACTATTTTGAAATAAAGTAAAGAAAACACATTGTATTGTTTTTACCCTGATTTGATTATTAATAATCAAACAGAAAGGAACTGTTTTAATGACTTTTGTTTGCTTTTAATAACATCAAGGTATTAGAGAAAATTTATTAAATGCCATTTTTATGAAAGTATTAATAAAATTGTTTGCTACAATGGTATTTCTGAAGCCACAGTTTGTTAAATATATTTATCTTTACATTATTTTTCAGAAGAAATAAAGCAGTAACCGAACTGATCTTTTCATCTAGATTTGAGGGTAAGACATAGAGCTTTAGAATACTGTTTGTATTCAACTTAATTGTTAAATCTATGTTAAGAGATGCTTTTTTTTCAAACATCTTTACAATCTGTGTTCCCTTCCACTGGCAGCCTCTTTGGAGAAGAGTAGGACAGTGCCAAGATCAACATGCTTTGATTCTTGCTCATTCTGATTAATCAGTTGGAATCTGACATAACTGCAGACAAGCAAATATAATATTGTCTTAATTATTGATTGAAATACTTTTAGAAAAACTTTATGATCCCTATAATTCATGGCCAGCTTGACTGATTACTGGTTACCTACCTATTTATCGGGTGGATTGTGATTTGTATTTTTCAAACATGACCAAAATCATCAGTCCATTATTTTACCAGGGTCATTATGATTGAGAAACAGGAGCCAACTGCATTATGGTTCCTTTGAGGGTAGCAAAGATTATAAACAGACTGTATTGACCAATAAAGTAGGTTATAGGCACATTTCCTTATATAAAGAGATATAAAGAGAGAGGAAAACAGAGAGAGGTAATAAAATTTAATATTGTGGCCTTATGTCTGTACCTAGCTATGCTGAAAATGTAAACAGTATAGGCAGCTTATACAAATACTTTTGGACTAAAAGTTTTATGTATCACAGGATATACATCACATGCTTATATGACTTATTTTAGTTCTTTCTGAGTACTGAACATTGGGGCTTTGGGTCCAGCCACTCAGTTATGTAGACAAGTGGCATCAAATGAAGGTTTGGCTTCATTTCCAGTGCTCATTCAATTAGTCACTATGGTCAGATGGACTGAACTAAAATATCCTGTTTGTGGCTTCATTTACCGGGAATTACTGGCGACATATATCAAGTTCATCTGATAATTGTTAACCTCCAATTACAGATTTGCTGGGGATCTGTCCTTTGTTAAATTAAAAGCAAATGGGAGGTTAAATGAATTTTAATAGCTTATTTTGTATAAAACTGCCCTCAATCTATTTTCAAATTTCATTTTGTCTTAGTTTCCACTGGTTGATAAGATTGCATTTTAGAAGGGGAAATCAAGGAAAGCAAACTGAATCGCCTGATATGAAACACTATTACTTTTTAATTTTTAAATGTTATTTTTAGACTGCTGTTCTTATGTCCACAGAGGGAAAATGAAGTGGGGCTCTGAGACAACTACTTCAATACTTTGAACCAAATAATTGCTTTTGAGAATAAAACAATTTCAATTTTTTATTAAATCATAATTACCAGATCCACTGGCTACAGAATCCAGAACCAGGAAAGAATTACTCAGCCCTCTACCTTAGTTTGCTTTTGTAGACACACTAGCTAAATAGAAATTTTGATGATTTTAGTAATACATCAAAAGTGAGAAATACTTGTTTAACTTAAAAAAAACTCATGAACAAGGCCTTCAGAGAAATTACATGAATATGTAATGAAAAAATATAAAATATCACTTTTAAGCTAGTTATAGGAAGGAAATAGTCTTCTAAAGCTCCTGAACAATATATTTCTCTTAGTTGGCAACTCACCGATACTATATAATTTCTTATCCTGCTAGTTAACAGCCTAAGGAAGCCATGCTGTACAGTGGAAACTGCTCATGGAAGTCTTTGGAAATCAGAATAAGCTCTGCTCTCCCTAATAAGAATTGCAATGTATATTTCAATCATTGTTTCATGTAAATTGAACCATTGTGGTAAAATTCTGAGTTGATAATCA